TCACACTCCTTTCCCTCGAGCCTGGATAGAGACACTGCCCAGCAGAGAGTGTGTCCCCACCCCACCCCAAGGCTTCCGTGCAGAGGGAACGCACAAGACAGCGAGGAGGCCAACTCCTGCGGTCTGAAACCTGGGCACTGAGAGGGTTGAAGAACATAAGGGTTGGAGGTTTGGGTTCTGGTGACCCAGAGGCGGGGTTCAAACCCCAGAACACGGACTACTGAACCTCTGTCGTTAGAAGCTGATTCCTCTGCAGGGTCATCTCGAGTCGCTGCTATACTGCAGCAGGTGACCTGACCAAGGTCACCTCCATAGCCCGTGCCGCTGCACCAGGAGACCGCACTGAGGGTCCCAGGGCATCTGTGACGGGGGGGACGGGGGGACAGGGCCTCCTGTGGGCTGAACCCAGGTCAGACACTGCAGAGTCACTGCGGGCTAGAAGGATGGTTTCTTCCTTTCTCTCCCCCCCGGTGTGCCCCCAGCCTCTGCACCAAGCTCCACAGAGCCAAAGGCTGCGGCAGAGGCTGGGGAGGGAGGGAGTTGGGGAATGCTGCCACCCAGCTGGGTAGGGGTGGGAGAGAAAGAGTCACATGATCTTGCGGTTCAGCAGTCTCTTTCCCAGGGCTGCTGTAAAGCAGGGGAGGGGTGGGGGGACGCCAGGGCTGGATAGCAGCCCCTCCTCTTCCAGACGCAGGGCACAGTTTAGACTCTCCCAACATCTACCCCTAGGTAGGAGTAATGCGTGAGTGGAGTGGGGGGAGTGGGTAACGACGGTGGACGGGGAATGGCTTGTGACCTTGGTCTTTTCTTGCTTAAAATTCAGACTGCAGGACTCAGAATTCAGCCTTGGAAACAGTCTCATCCTACGCTGAGGCCAACAGGGGCGTCATTCACGAAGCCCATCACTGTCACCCAGATGTTGCCACTTGGGCAGCTCTATAGTGCCTGTCCGGAAGGTAGGAGAGGGGGACCGTGCTTGGGTCACCTGAACTTTGGTAGACACCTTGGGATGCCAATAAGACTTGTCCTCCCAGCACTCATGTGTGCTCATTGTATCATCAACGTGGCTTGAGGCTTGGTGGCAGAATGTTCCATACTCGGTTGTTCCAGACCTGTATCTAGACCTGAAAGACCCAAACCCCAGCAGAGCAGCAGTTCCACAGGCCAGTTACGACACAAACAGGATCCAGAAGAAGGAAGTGGTAGCTTGTGTCTGTAATGCCAGCACTTGAAAGCCCAAGGCAGGAGGATTTCTGTGGGTTCAAGGCCAGCCTGAGCTATAGTGTAAGATAGAGGCCAGCCTAGGCTAAATTCAGAGACACCATCTCAAACAAAACACAATGAAACAAAAGGCTTGTTAAAAGGAAGCAAGCCCAGAGAGCAGGCCAGTCCCACACAACAGCCCTTATCTGTCACTAGGCGCAGGCCCTTGGAACAGAGGGATCCTGGCCACCTGTCCTCTCGCTGAGTGGAAGAGTATCACGCTGGAGACTCAGGAGTGGCTGAATCTACCTGCTACAGCAGGCTGGAAGCCAGAGCCCCTGACCAGTCCCTGGGCACAGGCACCGGGTAGCAGCTGCTGTGCAGACCCACGCTCCCCCTGCTGCAGGCTCAGCTCGGCAAGTCTACCTGCCCAGGCATCCACCCGGCTTTCTGTCTGTCCCTCCAGTCTGCATTTCCTAAAGTTCAAAGGCACCTTTCCTGTAGCCTGCCTGGCCCCCGTCTCCACAGAGATCCCTCAAAGAGTCCTTAGAGGGCGTGCGATACGTGGAGGATACGGGCAGGAGAGGCCACAATGTCGAGGTGAGAGGACCACGGTCAACTCCACACACAGTACCATGACCCATGGTGAGCACAGAGAAGAACGCCAGGCAGAGGAATGAGACCCTGCCTCCCAGCCTGAGCAGGAAAGACCAAGTCCAGGCAGCAGAAAGAGGCGTGGCCGCTGCCGCTGGTAGGCTAGAGAGTGGCTGCCGCACCTCCCACTGAATCCACGTTCTCAGCTCTCAGCGCTAGCTCTGCACTCAGCTCTGCAGATGAAGCAAGCACAGGGTGCTGCACATACCCTGTCCTGGACATTGGGCGCCCAAAGGAGCCCTGGAGACTTCCTGAGCCCCCGGTGAAGTCACCGTAAGGGGCTGGCACCTGATCTCTGCAGCGGATCCTGGAGGAGGGAGACCTCTCCTGATGGAGAGGTGCTTGTCAAGGCCTGGCTGGGAAGCCCTGTCTAGCCTTCTGCCCTCACTCTTCACCTGCCTACCACAGTCTGCCTGCAGCCTCCATACTGGAGTTACACACACACACACACACACACACACACACACACACACACACACGCACGCACGCACGCACGCACGCACGCACGCACGCACGCAAGCACCAGCGCACACACACGTACCCTGCCTCTGAGACAAGCCAGTTACGGGGGGGGGGGGGGGGGGATGAAGCAGAAGAGCATATGGAGGAGACAGGGAGGACAGACCTCTACCCACCCTTTGGTTCAGGAGCTCGGAGCTCTCTCAGCCTGGTCACACTTGGTGGTATTAGGGTGTGGCTTCTGGAAATCCCTGCAGCTGCAGAGGCAGGCATACGGCTGAGTGGGGTGGTGGCACTATGTAGCCGTGCCAAGTGTGAGAGCTATAACCACAGCGCTGGCCTAGAAGACTCCTTCACTCCAGCCACCTTGAGCAAAGCGCCATACTGCTTCCTTTAGAGAAGGCCAGCAATTGTCCCCACCTCATGTGGCTTCTGGGGACATAGCAACAGCTGGCTTTTTGAATTGTTACTATTATATGATTATTAGATGATGTAAGAACCAATGCTGTAAATGTAGTGATCAAAAATTTTCTAAAGGGGCCAGGCGGTGGTGGCACACGCCTTTAATCCCAGCACTTGGGAGGCAGAGGCAGGCGGATCTCTGTGAGTTCGAGGCCAGGCTGGGCCGATAGCCTCCAAAACAATACAGAGAAACCCTGTCTCGTAAAAACCAAAAAAAAAATTTTTTTCCTAAAGGGACTGGAGAGACTTTAACCACTGGGCTCAGTGGCTACAAACACTTACCAATCTTGCAGGGGATCTGCACTTAATTCCCAGCACCCACATGGTGACAACTCACAACTGCCTATAACTCCAGTCCCAAGGGATCCAGCAAGCTCTTCTGACCTCCATGGGCACTGGGCATGAGTGTGCTTAGGAAAAATACTGATAAACATAAGATCATGAAACATATATAAAAAATAGTTTTAATTATAATAACAGGGCCAGAAAGATGGCTTGGTGAGGAAACCTGCTTGCTACCAAGCCCGATGATCTGAGTTCAGTATCTAGGAGCCACATGGTAAAGAAAGAACTGACTCCAAAGATTGTCCTCTAACCTCCGCAAGATCACACGGCACACATGTGCGTGCACATACATGCACACATACACACATGTATGCACACACTTCTAAAAATTTTGTGATATCATTGTAGAACGCCAGAGCTCAAAGTAACCATATCTGTCATCACCTGCAAAACCTACACTTGGCAGAGACGTAAAAGTGACACACTGAGGTCACCACACTAGAGGCATAGGCAAGTGTAACCCTCTGTCTCCCGACCCTGGACTGACACCATTCATACATTATTTTGCAAGATGGGCGCCCTCCTGGCACCCACGACCATGGGAGAGACAGCAAGGCCAGCACGGCACAAGAGCAGCCCGGCAGAGAGCAATGGAAGTGTGTGGCTTCCGGGGGGAGTGACCAGCAAAGGCCTCCCACAGGAAGAACAGGGTGCCAGAGGCCACTTGAGAAGGAGGAGGACACAGGAGAGGCTGCCAAGTCCCGGGAGGTGGCATCACTCACGCAAGCACAAAATTTCACAGCTGCAATGACCCACACCACACTAGCATAAAACCCACACTAGCATAAAACCCACACTAGCATAAAACCCACACTAGCATAAAACCCACACTAGCATAAAACCCACACTAGCATAAAACCCACACTAGCATAAAACCCACACTAGCATAAAACCCACACTAGCATAAAACCCACACTAGCATAGAACCCACACTAGCATAGAACCCACACTAGCATAGAACCCACACTAGCATAGAACCCACACTAGCATAAAACCCACACTAGCATAAAACCCACACTAGCATAAAACCCACACTAGCATAAAACCCACACTAGCATAAAACCCACACTAGCATAGAACCCACACTAGCATAGAACCCACACTAGCATAAAACCCACACTAGCATAGAACCCACACTAGCATAGAACCCACACTAGCATAAAACCCACACTAGCATAGAACCCACACTAGCATAGAACCCACACTAGCATAGAACCCACACTAGCATAGAACCCACACTAGCATAGAACCCACACTAGCATAGAACCCACACTAGCATAGAACCCACACTAGCATAGAACCCACACTAGCATAAAACCCACACTAGCATAAAACCCACACTAGCATAAAACCCACACTAGCATAGAACCCACACTAGCATAGAACCCACACTAGCCGAGGGTGTGTCTAGCACACACCTAGAGTCAGTCCCAGCTTCAGGGAGGCTGAGGCTGGGGGACCGGAAGTTCAAGGTCATCCCTGGCTGGGTAGCAGTTTTGAGGCCAGCCTGGGCTATGAGACCCTGTCTTAAACACACACACACAGACACACACACAGACACACACACACATGCCTGGAGTAATCTCCGGCACTGACTACAAGTGTCTGCACCAGGTGCATGTCACTGGATCAAATGCCTCCGGTGGCATCAATGACAACTTGGGTTTCGCCACCAGGCGCCCTGCAGGTTAGCCCACTAAATAGTGCAGCACACAGCAGGAGTCCTGGAGGGAGGTTACACACCAACAGAAGCCATCCCTCCAAGCTGAGCTGGCCGTGGTGCAAAGGCTGGCATTCCAGACTACAGGGCCTGGAGTGCCACCAAATTCCAGACAGGCAAGGCTGAGGAGCCGCGGGGCGCCAGACCCGACACACACCTTCCGCATCCACGGTCTCCTTCATGATAATCTCCACCCGCTCCACGTGGTGCCTGTTCCAGAGGCCATCCAAGACTTTGCGGTTCTGATCTCGGAAGGGCAGGATCTGAGCCACGGCCTGTCAGGGAGGAAGACTGGTCATCCCAGGTTCTTGGGTGAAGGAAGAACCCTGACTCTCAAGCCCCAGACCTCGTCACTTAGGAGAAAGCCGTGTGTGGGTACCAGCTTCTAGCCCTCAGATCTCACAGCTCAACGGAGACACTCAGAACTAAATGACCTAACAGTTCGCTGTCAAGAAAGAGCATGCTGTGCACTGACTGTCTTCCCGTGGCTATAGCCCAGTGCTTGCCTCCCATGCGTGAAACCCTAGGTTCAATCTGCAGTACAAAGGGGGGGGTAATGGGAATGGGAAGAGAAAATAAAAATGAACCCTCTCTTTTAAGACTGACATGAAAAACTTTAACTATATGTACATTCAATAGTAGTCCTTTTCATTTCCAGGCCAACGAACCCTTTTCAAGACTGGCTCTGAGATCGTCTCAGTTTGAGGCTATTGCCATGACAGATACAAAGGGCTGGACGGAGAGTGAAGCCCCTGCCTGTGTGGTTGGTTCCCTACCCCGTGTGCGGCCCAGCTCCGCAGTCTGGGTACCACAGAGCACCGGTCCAGCACACTCTACGCTGGGAATGCTAGCCTAGCGCTGGGTGAGCACGGAGTCCCGAGGCCTCTGCAGAGTGAACTGGCCTGGACCTGTGCCTTCCAGGACATCGCTCCAAGCTCCTGTTTCTTGGCTTCAGTGGAGCTCCCAGACTCAGGGGCGGGGTGGGGGGGTCCACTTCCCTTCCTCGGTTCTAAGCTGTAAACAGCCTTTTGCCTCAAGACAGAACTCAAGACGAAAGGGATTTTTATTTTAAAAAGGCAGATGGGTGAGGGATTTTAAAAGCTAGTTCTTCCCACGACATTTCCAGATGAAAGCCAGATCCAGCCATCAGAGTCCCTGGACCACGTCTGTGGAGCAGGCAGGTCAACGTGGGGGAGTCAGAATGCACACCCTCTCTCTGGGAAGCCAAGACGAGGACGGAAAGTGGCCCTGCCCGCTACTCCCTGGGTCCCTGCTTCTACTTCTCCAGTCCATTTAGGAAGACCACAGGTGCTGAGGGCCCCCAACACTCTCCTGATGACAGACCCATGGCACCCCACACAGCATGGCCGCGCCAGGCTCCGAGCTGCCCCTCACCTGCTTGCCCAGGTAATGGTCTACCCGGTACATCTCCTCTTCCTGGAAAAAGCTCCCAAGTTCCGAAGCCAGCTGCTGGGCTGAGAGGTGATCGTGGCCAAAGGGCTTTTCGAGAACAACGCGTAGCCAGGCACCTGGGCGCGGCCTGCAGCTGCTGTTGATGTTGCGGGCAATGTCTGCATAGGCAAAAGGCGGCACAGAAAAGTAGAAGATCCTGCCAGCTTCCCAGAGCCCGTCCCGCTGGACCTGGGTCTCGATGTCCCTGTTCAGGGTCTCATAGTCCTCGGCTGTCTTCAGCTGACGGTACTGACTCAGCTGCAGAAACTGGCCCTTGAGTTCGTCACAGTGGCTGGGTGTCACGTCCTTGGAGCAGGCGAGGGACTCCAGGGCCTTGTCCATGAGCTTCTGGCCCTGCTGGGGGGCTGTCAGGGCAGCACCGTGGAAGCTAAAGCTGTGGCCCTTCCCAGCCTCATCCAGGTACAGCTGAAACAGTCCCTGCCACAGGTACTTCTTAGCTAGGTCCCCGGTGGCTCCCAGCAGGATGATGGAAACATGTCCCTTGGACTCCTGGGCCTGCAGACAGCCCAGGAGGGCCAAGCACATTGCCACCATGAGCATCTTCCAAATGTCTCGGTGCCTGGGAAGAGCAGACAAGGAACGAGGAAGCATCAGACACGGCCCGGGAGGTTATGATGCCGGAGTAACACAGCTAGGGCATCAAACATTTCCTGCCTGGCAAGGAACAGCCACGTGTTTCTGGGGGAAATGCTACAGTCACTCAGCATTCCGCTCCCTCCCCAGCAGCCTGGCCTCGGTGCCAGGGAGTCGGTATACAGGGAGCTTGCTCTGTAAGAAGGAACTGTGCCCAGGGAAAGTCCGAGTGCTGATCCGGGGCATTCTGCAGCTAGGAGCACCAGAGAGTGGCACAAATCACCAGGGAGGCCCACAGCGCTGAGAGAGGAGTGGGTCACTTCACACCCACAGCTGGCCTCAGCCATGAGCACAGGCTAGGTGGACGGCAGGGAAACCCTAGCCCAGGAACGGCAGCAGGCACCCGTCCAGCCAATGGCGGGAAGTGGGAGAGGACACGACTGCCTTCTCTCACCCATCGCTTTTCCCATGTCTGCTGGACTCCACGCACAAAATCACAACCAAGAGTGGCCTCGGGGCCAGGCGGTGGTGGCACACGCCTTTAATCCCAGAGGCAGGAGGATCTTTGTGAGCTAGAGACCAGCCTGGTCTACAAGAGCGAGTTCCAGGACAGCCTCCAAAGCCACAGAGAAACCCTGTTTTGGGGGGTGGGGAGAGAGAGAGAAAGAGACAGACAGACAGACAGACAGACAGACAGACAGACAGACAGACAGACAAAGGCCTTGGGGACCAGCAAGATGGTTGCGTGTAGAGGCACAGTTGCCCCCAACCGGGCGATCTGAGTGTGATCCCTGGGACCTACAAGCTAGAAGAAGAGACTCAAGGCCTGCGGAGCTGAACTCTGACCTCCGTGTGTGTGTACATGCACATGCACACACATATATACACAGATAAATGTAACAGAGGAAGTGTAGACTTTGGGGTAGGGTGTGTGTGGCTTAGCAAGGAAACTGGGTCCCATTCCCAACACAGAAATAAACAAACGAACAAAAAAAAAAAAAGGTATGCGGTGGGCACGCCTTTAATCCCAGCACTCAGAAGGCAGAGGCAGGCAAACATCTGAGTTCAAGACCAGCCTGGTCTACAGAGCAAATAGCAGGACAGTCAGGATTACACTGAGAAAACCTGTCTGAAAAACAAAGAAACAAACAAGCCAAAAACTACACAAACAAACAAGAGATCGTGCAGCCTAGTGCCTGAGTGTAAACCCAGCTCTATTCCTTAATAACCCGACAACTAAGCTGACGGCACCCCAGTCTCCTCTGGAATGGGTGCCATGGTGATGTCTCCATCACAGGCTTGTTGCAAGGATAGAATAACTCCCCATTTATACAATGCTCAGGGCAGTAACCTGCTGCCTTTTAGCCACTGTTTACAGGGAGTTGACGGTATTAAAAATGATATTCGTGTGTGCCAATCACAAAACCACATGCTCTCGGTGGACTGGTATCACTGGATCCAGCCCGGAGCCCTGAAGACCCACACAGGACAGTCTGACTACAGTCCCCTTTGCACACGGAAAGGCTGAGGAATGGAGTTACTCAGGGGCAGAGCAGCAAGCTGGCTCCCTGCAATCCCTTCACTGGCTTCCGTCGGCAAACACGCCTTTTCCAGCCCGACTTGTGGCAGCTGGCATATCTGGGAGGCAAGAGGCCTAGGCCAAGTCGTAAGAGCACCTGAGGATTGACTAGGCTGGTCTTCTGTTTCGGGCCAGCGCTGTGTTTATATGGCCACCGTCCTCCAGGTGTCACTGACGCTGGGCTTCGGGAGAGGGCGGAAGGAACTGAAGGGGGCAGGAACCACAGCTGTGGAAGGAAAGGTGGACACAGGGTGCCGTATGGGGGCGGAAAGGAGAAGAGCCAGCTGCAGAAACCGACTGCATGCCGTTCATCAACCAGACAGCATGAACAGAATAAGTGTGGCCGTACGGATGGAAAGCTGGGGTTCAGAGAGACCATGGAACACTTAAATGGCTCCACAGAGCTGACCAGCCTACCAGCACTATTCAGTAGGGATTAAGTTTGCCTCTGTTTGACCGTTATTGTTGTATGAAACAGGGTCTTACTCTGTAGCCCAGACCAGCCTCATACTCACGGCAATCCTCCTGCCTCAGCCTGTGAAGCGATGGGATTGCAGATGTGAGCCACGCACCTGCCTTCACCTCCTCCTAGTCTTTCTTCTTCATCTCTCTGGGGACTCACTGCCAGGACGGCTCTAGTGACATCCAAGCAAGACAACAAAAACGGTGCCTGTGCCAGCATCCACAACACACGTCACACCCCCAGCCATTCAAAGACAACAAAAACGGTGCCTGTGCCAGCATCTACAACACACGTCACACCCCCAGCCATTCAAAGGACCTGAGAGACCCCAGCTTCCTCTCCTGCCCCCCCATCTCTGCTCACTCTCAAGCACACAGACGGACTACAGGGCACCGCATTTTCCTCTGCCTCCCAATTCCTGTCCTTGGCACCTGAGCCTTTCTTTCTCAACTGGCAACGGCTCTGCCCCGGGGGAAGGAAAAGCTGCAAGGTCAGTGCGGGAGAAATCTGAAGCCCAGGGAACAGCCTGGAGAAGGAGGAGGCGCCAGCTGGCACACTGCGCCCCAACTCCTGATCCGGTCCCGGGAGCCAGGGCTCGGGATGTGCTGGGACAGAGAGAAGCCGGGGAGCCTCGCAGGGGCTGTCTGGTGGGGGAGCCCAAGGCCACCTCTCTGAGGACGACGGGGAAGCAGGGCCCCCGACCCACACTGCCTTCTGGACCCCTCTACCACACCGCCTTTTCCCTGACAGCGTGTGTGCGCTCTGGACCTGGTGCCCGTGTAAACCAGCCTTCTCTCCTGCATCCCCGGACCTCCTGAAGCAAGCAACACTGGGTATTTCAACAGGATTGTTTACAGTGTGATTACTAAATACCTACATGATTACTCTTTCTGAAATCAGCGTGGGTGGTACTTGGCTTTTTTTTCCCCACTTTCTTTTTATTTATTATTCTTTGTGTACTCTACCTCACGCCTCTCAATCCCACCCCCTCTCCCCACCCCAGAATAAAACAAAGTTTAAGAAAAAAAGGGGATAAAGGGAGAATCTCATCGTGGAAGCTGCAGTGTGACTCAGCCAGTCAAGCAGCAAACTCCTTTATCCATACATTTTACACGCAGACATTCATCGCAAAGAATCCTCTCCATATGCCACATGACAGGTGAGTAATGAGGACAGCTTCCCATGCTCACAACTTTGGGGCTGGCTCACCCACACATCCACCAACAGGGTCAGTTCTACTGCCCTGCCCAGGCGAGGCACAGGGCCTGCTCTGCTCTCCTGTTGCAGCTGGTTGGGGGCAGGGACTGCTCTCCTGCTCTGATGACCTCAGGGCCAGCTCCCGCACCTGTCCCAGGCATCGAAGGGGAACAAGGGATGTGTTTTACTTGTTTTTATTATGACCCTGTCCTTTCACCTGAACAGCATAGCTCAAACTGTACTGTATGCTTGAGAACCCTGGGAAGCTGTTTAAAATGCAGATTCTGGTGGAGAAGATGGAGGAGAGGCCAAAGCTGGTGGCCAGGTCCAGGGAACATACATTGAGTTGCCAAGTTCCCGGACACTGAGCACAGAGGCATCGGTGCCCAAACGTATGTGCCTGGGGCTGCACAGTCAACTTGGTGGCTGAAAGCACAAGTTGCCCCCAGAGTTAGATTCCCAGCACCCACATAGCAGCTCACGACTGTTTGTAACTCTAGTCCCAGGGGATCCAGTGCCCTTTCTGGCCTCTGCAGACACCAGGTGTGCACGTGGTGGTGCATGCGCAACACCATATACACACACAAGAGGAAAAACTAAAATGTGCGCACGCCCGACCTCATCACCTGAACCATCTGCTTGAGCCAGTCCTTAGATGCTCCAGTTCACCCTTCTCCTCATCATAAACGCTTCAAATAAGTCCTGTGGTGACCGTGGCAGCCAGCATGAACCGGGTGACTTAGCTGTACTGCCTCGCCCCACTGCTTCTGACGTGATTCTCATAATACTTGGGCCCTGACTTCTTCATCTATAAAACATGGCAGAAAACAGGCATGGTGGCTCATGCCTGTGACCCTAGCAATTGGGAGGCTGGGATGGGAGAGTCAAAAGTTCAAAGCCAGCTTGGACTACAAATGGAGTCTGAGGTCAGTCTGGACAACTCAGAGGGACCCTGTCTCAAATTTAAGAGTGAGAAAAGGTCTGAAGATACCAATCAGTGGTAGGGCATTTGTCTATCATGAGTGAGGCCTGGATCCAGGCTCTAGTACATAAAACAAAACAAATAAACAAAATTAACAGATTCTGTTGGCCTGAAAGACGAAGGGTTGCAAAGATTAACAGAGATGACGTATGTGACCCAAAGCAAAATAAAAACATGCTCAACCATACCTGTCATCCCAGTAGTCAGAAGACTAAGGCAGACTTAAACAACACACACACACACACACACACACACACACACACACACTGCTGCCCCCCCCATCCCAGGCAGATGAGATGGTTCAGTGAGTAAAGGCACTTGCTACCAAGATGACCCAATTTCAATCCCTGGAACCAGCATAGGAGAAATCTGACTCCATGAAATTGTTCCCGGAGTCCTGTATGCACGCCAGGGCAAGTAAATGAGTATGCATACATGTAACACATACTAAATAAGAGTTATTAAAACATTAAAAAAAGACCACTAGACAAATGCTAACTAATCAGACTACTTAAATAGGCCAGGTATGGAGGTGAAACCAGGGAGGTCAGAAATTCAAAGTCAGCCTGCACTGTAAGTAGTTGGAGACACCGTCTCAGGGAAAAAAAATAAGAAAGAAAGAGAGAAAGAAAGAAAGAAAGAAAGAAAGAAAGAAAGAAAGAAAGAAAGAAAGAAAGGAAGGAAGGAAGAAAGAAAGGAAGAAAGAAAGAAAGAAAGAGGATAATTAAATATGAAGTGATTCTCTGCCCTAGAGTGCAGAACACCATTGCTGTGAGAGGTACTGGTCATTCCCCTCACCTCTGGGCTGCAGAGCCAACCCTGCTAAGCGCCCTGGGGAGCACAGTCTGCTACCTACCTCACAGCCAACTGGGGCTCCCCGGATGAGGACGGTGGGATCTGGGCTCGGCTCTGTTCCCTGAAGCTGCACTTTCCCACTGCTCAGGCTGCCTTTGAGGGGCTTTGCACAGTCACTCCTCCCTCTGGGCTCAGCTCTGAAGAGCTGTGAAGCAGACCTACCAGAGCCACCTACACGATGCTGGACCTTGGTCACGAGGCAGGAAACCAAATGCCCACTTAGGAATTCTCTTCTCCCTCCATTTCTTCTTTGTCTATTGAGTCACCAGCCAGGGAACCATCACTAAACAGTCCGAGAAGCTGGAGGAGAGAAGGACAGAGACATCAACATGGACACTGGAAAATGTCATTCTCAGCCACATTCTTGCCCTTATCCTAAACAACCACACAACCTTGAAGAAGGCATTTAATCTGCCAAGGTCTCAGCTTCCTCGCCCGGGAAGTGAACTAAGCGTGCCCAGGTATTTTACTAGCCCTTGGTCCTGTGCTTTTCCAGGGAGGTTCCCACCACCTATCTGTATAAGCAGAGAAGTGGGGGGGCAGAGACCTGTAGGGGGTCACAGGGCCAAGAAATACAAGTTTACAACCTGGTCTACAGAGCTAGTTTCAGGACACCCGGGATACACAGAGAAACCCTGTTTCGAAAAGCAAAACAAACAAAAAGAGTGTAGAGGATACAATTTCACATATAACAAATTTTATTCTAGAAACAGCTGGTACAGGACATGGTAACTCAAGCCTACCCCTCAGTCCTTGGGAGTCAGGAGGCTTGTGAGTTCAGGGTTAGCCTGAACTACATAGCAACCTCATATCAAAAGAAAGAAAAACAGGAAAAAGAAGAGAGAGGGTAGAGGCTGGAGAGGCGGCTCGGCAGTTTGGAGCATGTGTTGCTCTTGCAGAGGCCCATTCCCAGCATCCGCACGGCGGCTCACAGCCATCCTGAATTCCAGTTCCACAGGAACCCACACCAAGCGCGCACATGGTGCACACACGGACAGGCAGGAAAATACTCTCACACCCAGAGCAAAGTAAGAAATGGGCAGAAGCAGCAAGCAGGAAGACAGGCCGGCCTCCTCCGGGTGCCAACACGTACCTCTGACAGGCTCGTGTTAGAGTTAGGACTGAGTATGCACGCAGAGATCTTATTCCAATACCTTTGGCTCTCCCAACTCTCCAATAGAAGTGTCTCACCCATGAGACAAAGGCCCTGCTAACCTTCCAGAAGGTGAAAGATTGGCTTGGCCAGCCATGGTGAACTAGGGGCACAGTCTGGCTCCATCTTCCATTTGCCCTCATTGGAAAGGGGGACATGGCCAGGCAGCCCACGGCTGTCCCTGCCCACGCCACAGAGGAAGAAGCACAGAGCTGGTGCTGGCTGGCCACAGCAGTTACCAGAGGGGAAACCAAGGGTCATTACCTGCCCCTCACTCCCCTTCCTCACTCCCACAGATGCTGTTGACTGAGCCCGCTCCTGGGGGTGGAGCTAGTAGAGGGGATGGTCCTCAAATCACAGCCCAGAAACCTGGACGTTTTAAAAACTAGGAAGGAAATAAGAAGTCAAATGAAAGAGCTCTCATAAAATCACCCTGATCAACCAAAGGTCCCCCTAGCTCTGAGGCTGCAGTCATGCCAGACTCACCAGTGCAGGCAAAGAACAGAACCCTGCTCGCCCGCTGGCCCGCTCGCCCGCCTGCCCGGTCAATCAACCCTAACCTGCATTTGGTCCCCTGCAGCCAATCTGGGGACCTGGGCTTCCAGATCAAGCTCTCCTCAGAGAGCCCTTTCCTGGGCCTCCTCTGACGGCAGCCAGAAGCAGTGAGGACACTAAAAGTCCCTCTGTACCTGTTTGCAAGATTTGATTGCTAAACTCCGGGTTTTTCCCCAGCTGGTTGTGAAGCGATTACTAAATTGAAGTTACGTCAATGAGTAACCAGCTGAATCCTATTAAGACTAAAGATCAATACACACTCAGAATATCGTTTCCTAACCGCGTTTCTTTGCTGTCTATATGCTCTCGATGCTGCTGAACAGGGGGACATGTGTAACAGAGACATTGGCAAAGATCATAAATCAAGTTCCCCAGCTCCAGCCCTCACCTCCTGCAGAGCAGCTGTTCAAAGCTTACCAGCCGATTGCTATCTGTATGGCCAGGCCTGACCTCACCTCACTCTGATGCCTCTGTTCACACTTGAATGCTGACCAGGCTTAACCACGTCAAAATCTACGGGGTTTATTTACCTCAAATCTAATTTTCCCTTCCCTCTCCTTACCTCCCATTCCTTCCTCTACACTTCCCTTCCTTCCCTTCTCTCCCTTCCCCTCTCTTCTCCTCCCCTCCCCTCCTCTCCCACTCATCCCCCTCCCCTCCATTCTCTTCCCCTCCCCTTCTGTCCTTTCCCTCCCCTCCCCTTCCCCTCTCCTCCCCTTTCCTTCAGGTTTGTGTTTCTCTGTTTTGAGACAAAGCTTGGCTGTAGTCCAGACTGGCTTCAACTTGCCATCCTCCAGCCTCATCCTCCCGGCACAGGCATGACAGGCATGTACCACCACACCTCTCAACCTGCCCCAAATGCAGTCTCCACAGGTCCCAGTAAATGCACACATGTTCACATCATAAACCTTAGAGGTGACTGGTCTGTTGGAAAATACCACTATCAACCTTCAGATCATATTTGAGAGCAGCTACAGGCACTGTTGCCGAGCCTGATGAGGGTGGAGGGGGAGATCCAACTCCAGTACCTGCCCTTTGACCTCCACATGCGTGCCCACGTGTGCACGTGCAAACACAACAGAAGTTACAGAGGTGCCGTCACCCCGCGTGGACTACTACAGAATATGCCCTTCCTCCCTCCTGTACCTCCCTCTGGCACCTGCAGAGTCGTGTCTAGCACAGGGGCCAGAGCGACCCTCCCAGTGTTGGCCATGCCATTTCTCCACTCCCAGTGTTGGCCATGCAGTTTCTCCACTCCCGGTGTTGGCCATGCAGTTTCTCCGCTCCCAGTGTTGGCCATGCAGTTTCTCTGCTCCCGGTGTTGGCCATGCAGTTTCTCCGCTCCCGGTGTTGGCCATGCAGTTTCTCCGCTCCCGGTGTTGGCCATGCAGTTTCTCCGCTCCCAGTGTTGGCCATGCAGTTTCTCCGCTCCCGGTGTTGGCCATGCCGTTTCTCCACTCCCGGTGTTGGCCATGCAGTTTCTCCACTCCCGGTGTTGGCCATGCAGTTTCTCCGCTCCCGGTGTTGGCCATGCAGTTTCTCCACTCCCGGTGTTGGCCATGCAGTTTCTCTGCTCCCGGTGTTGGCCATGCTGTTTCTCCGCTCCCAGGTCTATCATTTCTTTGGCCTCTTACCCTGCTCTGCCCATCCTCCCGCCTCGGGGTCTTTGTACTGGCTCCTCTCTGTCGGGCCTACTTCCCCGACAGGTGCCCACACGGTGCATTCCTTCACTAACCGCAAGCCCACTTGTTCAATCAGGCCTTCTCAGACCACTCCAAAAGACACTAGAATGCCACCTCCAACTTCAGGCCCTCCTCCCGTCCACCCCACCCCATTTCTCTCGGTAGCCTCTCCTTCCTTCCTTCCTTCCTTCCTTCCTTCCTTCCTTCCTTCCTTCCCTCCTTCCTTCCTTTCCTCCTTCCTTCCTCCTCCTTCTTTCCTTCCTTCCTTCCTTCCCCTCCCTCCCTCCTTGGCCACCCTCAAACTAGACATGTAGCTGAGGATGCCCTTGAATTTCCTTGAAATTATTTTACGCCTGTGGGTATTTTGTGCGGTTGTGTGCCACACGCAAGCCTGGTGCCTGCGGAAGCCAGAATAGGGCTTTCGGGTGCCCTGGGATGGGAGTTATAGGCAGTTGAGAGCTGCCGTGTGAGTGCTGGGAATTGAACCCAGGTCCTCTGGAAGAGCAGCCAGCACTGCCGAGTCCCCTCTCCAGACCCAGAACTCCCGCTCTTGCCCGCTCTGTCTCCTGCATGCTGGGATGACAGGCACGCGTCCCCGTGCTTAGTTTCACGCAGTGTCGGATGTGTTAGATACCCAGGGAAGCAGAGCTACACCCCCAGCCCTGTCTCTGTAACGCTTTCTACCTGGATGAGGATTACACTTGCTTGTTTACTGGCTGCCACTGCTTCCCCCAAGAAACCAAGTCCAACCTGGACACGGAGAGGTATGTTCACGCCACTACAGTATCTCCAGCATCTGAAACAGGGCCAAGCACTGGGCCGGCAAGCTCCCCAGGGATATTTGCTAATGACCAAATAAATACCATTTGCACAGGGTCACTGCAGCCTCCTGTGCGTGATGCCCAGGACGAATGATGGATGGCATGGAAACATTACACGGTAACGGCCACTGCAAGCACTGAGACACTGCAACCCACCAGCAGTCGTCCCTTCTTGCTTATAACGGGATTAGTAGTGTGAGCTATTTACGGCACAAGCGCCTTATGCCAAACGCTAGGCTTAGAGTGTGGCGACACTTTGTTTACGATCTAACAACGCTTGCCTGAAGATCAGAGGGCGGAGCTAGCCACACTAGTTATCCATAGAGGTCTGGAGGTCTGTACAGTCAGACAGGAAGTGATATGATAGCTGGGCGGAGACAGGAATATGAGGCGGGAGGAGACAGGAGCTCGGCCTCTTTTCAGTCTGAGGATTTCGTAGGGGAGAGAGTTCCAGGGGCTGGCTGTTTTGCTTCTTTGATCTCTCAGCTTTTATCCCCAGCATCTGACTCGGGGTTCTTATTATTAAGGCCAATTAGAACCCGTTAGAGTATGACAAGCGATGGGCCCTTTTACTCTTGCCGCAATCCTGTGAGGCAGGCACTGTCACCCACCGTCTGTGTAGCCGTGAATAAGACACAGAGACGTAAGCTACCGTTGCTGAAGGTCGGACAATTCAGAGGTGACAGGATGTGAACGGAAGCTCTTGGTGCTAGAGCTAACCTCCGATGCCGCTAGAAAGTGTGTGGCTAATGGCTGGGGAGACGCTTGCTCTTACAGAAGACCCACGTTCCGTTCCCAGCACCCACGGGATGGCTTGTTACAACCACCTGAGATCCCAGTCCCATCCCAAGTCCCCGTCCCAGAGGATCCGGCGACCGCTTTTGGCCTCCTTCGGCACTGTACACACATGGTGCTCATACATGCAAACAAAAACCCGGGTTACACGGAAATAAAAATAAATCTTAAAAAAAAAAGGAGAAAGAAAACATGTGGTTATGTCCCCCAAACAACAAAATGGCAGGCAGCAGCTTGGTTTTCCTGATGGTGGCCGCTCCCAAAGCCAGCTGGCTGGGCATTGTTCTAGGTTGCCATGTTACTCCCTCCCAACACTAGTGGCCTCTCACTGGTCTCTGCTGAACCCCATGTCTACGTGTCTAACAGCGCCTCACACGCCCTCCTCCTGACACTAGGGAGACACGGAGTGGAGCCTGGAGGCCCCATGGGCCAAGACACTGAGTATCTGATCTGGAACTCAACTGCACCCCCTGCAGCTGGGACAGCCTTTAGCCTCTTTGCTCCTCAAGCACGGAACAGAAAAGCAAGTCCACTACAAGCACACACGAGCTCGGTCCACGTGAGGCACTCTGGCGCAACGCCTGGGAAACTCCAGGCGCTCACGAAATGGCAGCTTCTAACACTGAACACTACTAGCACCATGAAGGCCCTTCCCACGACGCCTCAGAAAACAATCCTGCTACAGGGAAACGGAGAGGCGCGGGTCGTGAGGGCTCAGCTGGCCCCTCTGAGGGAAGAGCGACAGGCCGGGGTGGCCCTTTCTCAGCTCTTGAGAAGTCTACCGTGTGGCCACAAGAGTAGATACAGTATGATAGCCCCCGGGTGCTGCAGGACATGTCTACAGCCCCATAACTCAAGAAGCTGAGGGAGGAGGACTGAGCGCTTGAGAACAGCCTGGGATACAAAACAAGACCTTGACACCCCAAAAAAACAAAACACAGCAGGGCTGGAGAGATGACTCAGCAGTTACGGTGCCCTCTGCTCTTGCACAGGACCCGAATTCAATTCCCAGCATGTCCGTGGCAGCTCACACCCATCTGTAACTCCAGCCCCCACCTGACCTCCAAAGGTCCGGGGCACATGTGCGGTACACAGATGTGTACGGAGATAAGACACCCAAACCACTCACATTAAATAAATAAAGTTAAAGCAAAACAGATGGGGGTGGCTGGGGGGGCCGGCTGGAGAACCTGCTCCCCAGTTAGCAGCACTTGCTGTTATCGAGAAGACCTAGATCCAGCTCCTGGTACCAGCATGGCAGTTCACAGCAACTCCAGCTCCGTGGGCTCCAACTCCCTCCTCTGTTCTCCACAGGCATGTGAATGTACACACATGTACACACGCACGCACACATAAAATAAATGGGGCTGGAGACATGGCTCAGCCGTTAAGAGCACCGGCTGCTCTTCCAGAGGACCCAGGCTTGGTTCCCCAGGTCCACACGGCAGCTCCCAACCATCTATAATCGCAGTTCCGGGAGAGCCCCATACCCTCTTCTCGCCCCAATAAACACTGCACACACATGGCAGACCTACATACATGCGTATGCATGCACAACACTCATACACACAAATTTCTTTTAAATCTTAAAAAAATAACACATTATTTGAAAAGAAATATAAGCTGGGGCTGAAGCTCAAAGGTTTGGTGCATGTCTAGTATGTATGATGTCCTAGGTAAATATAAATAAATAAATGACACCAAAGAGTAAAAGGAGTAAGGCTGTAATTTGCTGGCCCTAAACCCCTGGCTTAATTCTAGATTATTTTCCCTGGCTGTAAAATGTGGGTAAGCGACCTCATTTTAATGGCTGGCCAAAAGAAACTAGATCAGGGAACAAAACATACTTTGTGAGGACATGGTGTAAGAGCTTCCTGACTTCACAACCCAGGACAGCTGCTGCGGGCACATCCGGAGGACTGGGCCACAGACGGCTAAGGGAATCTCCGTAATTCCCCTTTATTTTATTTTCAGAAAACGTTCTTCGACCTCAGTGACCCTCCTGCCTCTGCCCACCTCCCTCCAAGTGCTGGGATTAAAAGTGTGCACCACTACGCCCCTCTTAAACAGGCACTTTTCTGTGACGTGTTCCCAAAATAAAGATTAGCCTCATCAACTCAGATTCGGCAAGCCGTGCATCACGGCAGAAGACTATAGGGGCCCTGGTTTTCCAACCGGCTACCTTTCAAGGGCCACGATGGAGGGTGGACTAGCTATTCAATCGCTGTGTGAAGCTTTCAGTTCTTACTTCCGGCTAAGCATTCAAGGCTGGGAAAGCCGACCTTCAGAGGCCCCGTGCTTCTGGAAAAGAATTTGCTGGGTCGGTATGTAGAAAACGCTCATGAGATTGCAGCTGCCAAAGTTAAAGCATTGGGAAATCACCAGCTCGCTCTCCGCGGCACGTTCCGGGAAGCCTAGGGACAAGGGCGCGCTGGGCCCCCAGGACTGCCTAGCCGCCTCCTACTGGCCCGCCACCTAACTGCACCGCATTCCCAGGCCCTGGTGGGGTGGGGTGGGGAGATGATGCCTTTATTCCGCGGAAGGAGGGGTGTGCGGGTGGAGGATCGGTGACTCGGGCGAGCACGGTGGGACCCGAGCCACCCCAGTGGCCGGCTGGCTGGCATGCCGTCGGGTGCAAGAAGTGCGCAGCCCAGAGCAAGCAGGGGGGTGCAGCTTACTTCATCTCGCTCCTTCGGGAAGTGGCCCGGGCTGGCTAGCACGACAGGCGGCTGGGGTGTGGGGGACCTGCGACCCCCTGCCCGCACTTCGTCTTCAGCAGGTGCGCGCTTCACACGGGACCGCGCCTGGGCGCTCTCGGTGCGCCCGGGCGCGAGGCCAAGTCCAGCCCGGGATGCGGCAGAATTTCAGGCGGCGCAGCGACAGGACCCAGCGGGCAGGCCTCAGGCCACCGCGGCCCCGCGCGGCGCTCACCGGGGAGCCGGGAGCGCGCGCAATGGGGCCTAGGGCTAAGCGCGCGAGCGCGGAGGAGGTGGGGCCTTGGGCCTGAGCACGCCCCCCCATCTCGCGGGCGCGGAGGAGGAGGCGGGGCCTCCGAGTGCTTCTTGGCGTCCTGCTGCTACGCTTGAGCTTTTGCCTGTCTTGCATTACCGGCCTCCTACCTGGGTCATACTGCCAGTGGCAGGGATGCCATGATGCACGGAGACGCGCATTTGCCCCCAAAGATGCTAGGAGGGGAGATAGTGGATGTGTCGTTGAGAAAATTCAAAGGATGAGCTGTGTCTCTCTCTGACTTGTCCCTGCCTTCCCCAGGCCTCATGGTCCTCCATCTGTAGAGTGAATAGCTTGGTCCTCTAGGCATTTCTGTGTCCAGAGTGAGTTAAACTGTGCGAGCACACGCTCTGGCCACACCTTCACCAGTCGGCTCCAGATGGCTGACTCCCCCTAGCTTACAGGGTCTTGGAACTCTAGCTGTGGCTTTAAGAGAGGCAGGAAATAAAACAGTGTTTTGTGTAGAGAGCAGCTGGCCTGTAAAGGACTTCTCAGCTCTTGGCTCCATCCCACTCCCATCCATTTTGGTTCCCTGTTCCCAACCTCATGCCCATTTTAACTCAACCCTACAGCGTGCCCCATGACTCCTGACACTGAAGATGAAGCTCTTTCTGTCCTCTGTGTCCCTTCATCTCAGCACAACTCAAGCAACTTTGGGCTAATGGAGGTAGATGCCCTTGACCACCGCCTGGATGAGGGTGCCCATCTTTACTCTTGGAGTATCACAGCTCTGCTCCTTCTGCAGAGGCTCCTCCCAGCCACCCCATGAACAGAAAGGCCACTTGGCCACCTCTGAGCCTGCCACCTGGAGAGAGGACTCCAGTGAGAGAGAAAACACGAACCAGTCTTTTCTTTCACCGTGGTTGCTCTCCAAGTAGCAATAGCAGGGGGAACTTGGCAGGACCAGAAGGACCGAGTGAAGCCAACAGTCATGATTACCACATGGGATGTTGGGCAAGGAGCTTCCAGGAAGGCTGGGGAGCTAAGGGAAGCTGGGACCCACTGTCATCAAACCCAGGACCACCAGGAGGTCTGCAGAAGACTGTTGACCCTCAGCCAGGATGGAGGTCAGACTGGGTGGAGTCTGAGCTGGGACAAAGTGCCAGGCACCCCTTGGGCCCCCTCTACAGCTGGAAGGGAGGGTCTAAGGCAGGGAGGGGTCAGTCCGCCCGAACTCAGCTGATGTCAAAATTCTTAGCCTAGAGCCCTTCCCACATTCGCTAACCCATACACCAGAGCCAGGGACACACAGGCGGGAGTGGACAGGAGTCCAGGGCTTGAGATGAGCAGGGTACTCTCCACCCTCTAAGTGCCCGTGGTAGGGTGCTGTCCCTGGCTGCCTAGAAGACATCTTTTAAAATATCCCCAAACCAATTTAGCTGTGACCAGCTTGACAAGAAACACCTGTGTGTCCCCTGCGTGGTAAGGATGCAGCTGGGGAAGGAGTGAGTCTGCCATCATACATGGCTCCACTGGACTGTTGCCACATGTTGCTGAGTCATCATACATGTCCCCATATTGCTGAGTCATCATACATGACCCCATATTGCTGAGTCATCATACATGTCCCCATGTTGCTGAGTCATCATACATGACCCCACTGGACCATTGCCCCCATATTGCTGTGAGTCATCATACATGTCCCCATATTGCTGAGTCATCATACATGTCCCCATGTTGCTGAGTCATCATACATGTCCCCATGTTGCTGAGTCATCATACATGTCCCCATGTTGCTGAGTCATCATACATGTCCCCATGTTGCTGTGAGTCATCATACATGTCCCCATGTTGCTGAGTCATCATACATGTCCCCATGTTGCTGAGTCATCATACATGTCTCCACTGGACTGTGGCCCCCATGTTGCTGTGAGTTGCTTCGTTTCTCCCCTCTCCCCCCTCATCTGTGTCTGTGGGGGGGTGTGCATACGTGGGGGGTCAGAGGTCATCGGATGGCTTCCTTTATCTTTCTACGCTTTTTTAAAAAAAGATACTTTATTTTACATATCTGGCTGCTCTGCTTGCATGTATTTATACGCACCGGCCCGTAAATGTCAGAAGAGGGCGTCGGATCCCAAGAAATTGGAGTTACTGATGGTTATAAGCTACCGTGTGGGTGCTGGGAACTGAACCTGGGTCTTCTGAAGAGCAGCCAGTGCTCTTAACTGCCGGGCCATCTCTCCAGCCCCCACACCTTACTGTGTCTGAGTCAGAGTCTCTCACTGAGCCTGCAGCTTGAGCTCTAGGTGTCCCATCTCCAGGGCCTGGATCTCAGGCCATAACACTGTGCCTGACCTTTTTATGTGGGTCCCAGGGATCCAGGCTTGGGTCCCCAGACCTGCACAGCAGTCACTGTACCCACAGCCCCAGCTCCAGTCCAAGTCCCCCTTTCTCGCCTCCACCTCAGTCCCCTCCCATCCTACCCCTGTGTCTCTGGATCTGAACCACTGCCTCCCCCAAATCAGCCCTGGAAACCTTGTCTGTGCGGGCCACGGGACTGGTTCCAGTGCCTCTGCCTGCCTGGAGTTTCTTATTTCTGTGCTAGCTGCTACTACCCACTCAACCGTTATCACAAGGTGTGATTTCAGAGCTCCGCCCAGGGAGGGAGGGAGGAGGGGCCGGGAGGGAGGGTTCTGTGGCCCCGGTTGCATCTGGCTTATCTTGCACTGGGTAGGGAAGACACCAGGGGCTCCATTTATGGAGAACGTTGGTGGGGCCTTGGTTTCTTAATCCTTGCACGGCATGCTGGGAAAGCAGAAGTCAGGGTTAACACATCCTGCTTTGCAGACATGGAAAGCAAAGCCCAGGGAGATGAATGACTCACAGAGCTGTCGTCTGTGGAGTTAGAAATAAAATCACGTTGCAGTTTCTATTTTCAGGCAGCCATGCCCCAAGTCGGCTTTCCTTGCTGGCTCCTGGCTTCTCACAGGGGAGGGAGGGGAGGGAGGGGAGAACAGGTGTTGTACGTTTTTCAGCCGTGAGTAGACGTTTTCATCCCCAGATGAGAAACCTCCAAATGACTTGTTATGTTTTAAGACTGGCTCCGTAAAGTAGTGGTTATTTCCTTCTCTGTTGCAGCCATAATAGGGCACCACATTTAAACTGCACAGATCTGCTGTCTTACCACTGGCAGACTCTGGACTGGCTGGGCTGCGGGGGTCAAGGCTGCACTCCCGTATGGAGACGCCATTTTCTTGCTACGTCTTTCTTCAGCCGTCTTCCGCTGTTTGGCACAGCTCTGTGCCTTGTGATCTGCGGGATCCCTAGTTTCCCTCTGACTTTGGCTGAGGACTGTTCTCAGTTTGAAGGTTCTCCGGGGCCCCTTATCTTCAAGGCTTGGATGAAAAGTTGACAATTTCTCTTGCTCTTATCTGGGCGCAGTTTCTGATTCAGCCAGGAAAGAACGTCTACTTTAAGAGCTGGTGACATTGGACTGGGGAGGGACACTTGTATAACCCCGAATTATAATATCTCCCGTTTTAGACTCCATATTGTGTGTCTGGAGGGGGTGGCTGGAACTCTCTATGTAGACCAGGCTGGCCTTGAACTCACAGAGATCTGTCTGCCTCTGCCTCCTCAAGTAATGGAATTAAAGCTGTGCACCATTATGCCTGACCAAAAACGAAATTTTGATTGTTTAATTCATTAGTTTTAAGTGCGTGGGTGTTTTGCCTATATGATGCTTGTGTACTGTGTGCATGCCTGGTGCCCTTAGAGACCAGAAGAGTCCATCAGGGCCCCTGGGACTGGAGTTTCAGACAGGTATGAGCTGCCATCATATGGTGCTGGGAATCAAACCCAGGTCCTCTAGAAGAGCAGACAGTGCTCTTAACCACTGAGCCATCTCTCTAGTTCTCCAAAAGTATTTTTAAGATCATTTTTACTCATGTGTATACATGAGTGTGTACAATTGTTTGAAGAGGCTGGAAGAGGACAGAGGAACCCCTGGGACTGGAGGTCCAGGCGTTGTGGGCCACTCAGTGTGTGTGTTGGTGTCTTTTTTGTTTTGTTTTGAGACAGGGTTTCTCTGTGTAGCCCTGGCTGTCCTGGAACTCGCTCTGTAAACCAGGCTGGCCTTGAACTCACAGAGGTCTACCTGCCTCTGTCTCTTAAGTGCTAGGATTAAAGGTGTGTGCCACCAAAACTCTTATAAAGGAAAACATTTCATTGGGGTGACTCCCTTACAGTTTCGGAGGTTCGGTCCATTATCATCATGATGCGGAGTGTGGCCACGCGGAGACAGATGCGGTGCTGGAGAGTAGCTGAGAGTCCTACATCTTGCAGGCAACAGGAAGTCCACTGAGACGCTGGTCGGTATCCTCAGCATAGGAAACCTCAAAGCCCGCCCCCGCAGAGACACACTTCCTCTAACAAGGCCATACCCACTCCAACAAGGTCACACCTCCTAATAGTGCCACTCCCTATGAGTTTATGGGGGCCAATTACATTCAAACTACCATAGCTGGGAACCAAACTCCTGCCTACCTCAGGAGTGAGCACCAAGCTCCCTCGATCATTGAACCATCTCTTTAGTCCCCCCAAAATAATGTCCAATTGCATGGGTGTGCCTTGCTTTGTTGATGCCATCATCTTTAGAT